GAGTGAGGGGCATCGGTGGGGCTGGGAGTGGGGAGCCCAGGGCTGGGATTGCAGGGGGCTGCGGGTCAGGGCCGGGGCTGGGCTAGCAGGGGGCTGTGGGTCAGGACTGGGGGGCACCGGCAGGGCTGGGAGTGGGGAGCCCAGGGCTGGGGTGCATGGTCAGTTTAAAACACTGGGGCAGCCCTGACATGGTCAAACTCTGAGCAGGATCCTCTGCGGGGCTGGAGCCAGGCCCCCTCATGCCGCCTGGTCTCTCCCCCATGGTGAAGTGCTGGAGTGGGAGGAAGGATTCCAGGGAGTTACCCACAGGGGCCCCTTGCCCAGTGCTGAGATGCAGCTGCCTCTGGGCTGGGGCACAGGGGCCATTTAACAGCCGCACAGGAGTTCAGAGGGGAGAGTGAACAGCTATCCTGCGTGTGACTGATGCTGCTGCAGTGTGTGTGTGTCTGTGTGTGTGTGTGTTGCATTCCCTTGGCTGCCTTGGGACCCCCCCCGGCGCTGAACTGTGGGGATCGCTGGGCTGTGTCCCAGCCCTGGGCTGGGTGTCTGGCCAGGAGCTGGACAGTCAGGGATAGGTGGCCTGGGCGATGGTGGGGCCGTGTCTGTCTGTCTCTGCTGGTGGCTGTTTGTTCCAGGGGGGTGAGGTTGGCACACGGGGAGTGGCTGGGATACTGAGCTTACCTGATGCCCTCTCCCGCCTCCTGTGCTTTCAGGTGCCTGGCCCAGCCTGCCCCGTGCCCGCCCCATGCCCAGCTGGACGTGAGGTGGAGCCAGGGCACTGCCCTCCTGCCGACCTGTTGGGTTAAATGCTGGCTCGTCCCGTGCCAGCTCCGTGCTCCTGGCACAGAGCAGCCACCCAGGTGAGTTTTCCTGGGAGATTAATTTTGGGGGATCCTGCCCCCAGACTGTGAGTTGGAATTGGGGGTGGGAGGAAGCAGGGCATGTACAGACACCCCCCCCCTGTGCCAGCCAAGGGTCTTCCTGGGCGTCTCACGGCACCCCCCACATGCAGCTTGTCCCCCTTGTGGACCCTCGGACTGGAGTCTCCAAGCAGCACCCCCCACCGGCCGGGCGCCCCGTACTGCAGCCTCATATTGATACCCCCCCGCCTCCTGCTTGTCCCCCCAACCCCTGGGTGCCCACCTCTGCCATATGCTCAGTGCTGGCACCTCCTGTGCCCCCTCAGCACTGATGCCCCCCACCCCTGCCTCCTGGCCCTTCCATGCCCCTGGGCACTGGTACCCCCGGGTGTCCCCTTGGCACTGATGTCCCCCCCGTGCTCCGGCCCCTGGGTGCTAATGTCCCCCTCTCCTTGGTGCCCGCAGCATGTCGTGGTTTAGCGGCATCCTGGTGCCCAAGGTGGACGAGCGGAAGACGGCATGGGGGGAGCGCAACGGGAAGAAGGGGCAGCGCCCGCGCTCCTCGCTCTGCAGCCCGCGCTACATGAGCTGCCTGCAGGACCCCGAGCTGGAGCGGGGCGCCCACCCGCGAGCCGGCCTGGGCCTGACCTGCTCCTGGCAGGAGGACCACTACAGCAAGAAGGGCCTGGCTGGGGGCGCCGGCGACCTGGGGCTGAAGTCGGTGGACTTGGGCTTTGAGGACGGCGAGGCCAAGGGGCCGAAGGCAGCGGAGGGGGTGGCCAGGCCTGGGGAGCGGCTGTCGGCGGGCGAGTGCTGGCAGCGCCTCCTGCAGGTTTTCCGCTCCAAGCGCTTCCAGTCGGCCAAGCTGGAGCGGCTCTACCAGCGCTACTTCTTCCAGATGAACCAGAGCAGCCTGACGGTGCTGATGGGGGTGCTGGTGCTGGTGTGCGGCGTGATGCTGCTCTTCCACTGCGTGCCCGGCACCCCCCGGGTGCCCTACGCCGCCGCGCTGGCCGTGGCCACCGCCCTCTTCCTGGCACTCATGGTGCTGTGCACCCGCAGTGCCTTCCCCCAGGACTCCATGGGGGTGGTGAGCTACCTGGTGCTGGCCGCGCTGGGCGGGGTGCAGGCCCTGGGCACCCTCATGGCCTCACCACGCAGCGCCTCCGAGGGCGTCTGGTGGAGCGTCTTCTTCATCTACATCACCTACACCCTGCTGCCCGTCCGCATGCGGGCCGCCGTGGGGGCGGGCGCCCTGCTCTCCGCCCTGCACCTGCTCATCACCTGGCACCTCAACGCCAGCGACCCCTTCCTCTGGAAGCAGGTATGGGGGCGGGGGCTGGCTCTGGGGTGGACAGTGGGAGGCAGGGCCTCCTTTGGGGGGCTGCGGGGTGTTGCCCTGCTGGGTTCAAGGAGGGAATGTGTGGTCTGAGGGTGTGCCCAGCAGTGGGTTTGTGTGTATGTGGTGGGGGGGAACGTCCCGACACTCGTGGGCCTGGCCTGGCCCCTGAGCCAGGCCTGCATCCGGGTCACCTGGGCGTGGGGCTGGGTGGGGAGGGGGATGTTTGTCTTGGGGGAATGATGAACCCAGAAGGGCCCTGCTTCCCGCCTGCCTCACTGTGCTCCAGCTCTGGGGGGGCCGGCGGGGCCCAGCAATGGCTTCTCTCCCCAGTGGCACTGGTGTGAGTCCAGCCCCGCTCCCCTCTGACTGGGGGCCTGGTGCCCAGCCCCCACCCCAACCCCTCCCGGGCAGGCTTCCCCCCCCGTGTCTCCCTACAAGGCCCCTGTGGGGCTGGGCTGAGGCGTGGGGGGGCGAGGGCAGCTCTCCTTGCTGCCAGGCCCCCGTGCATGGACCCCCCGGAGGGGAGCCGTGGGAGTCAGGGCCTGGGGCTAGCAGCCAGCGGCAAAGCCGAGGGGTGGGTGTGTGTGTGTGGGGGGAGGATCTGGCCATGCCACCACCCACCCCAGGGGCTGCCAATGGGGAGGGCAATGGGGTGGGGGGGTCTGATCCTGGGGGGCTGGGGGTGAGTGCTGCAGTGCCCCCTCCCTGAAGGCTGGGCCCCTGCTCTCTGGGGGGGGATGCGGCTCCCACGCTCCCATTCGGCAGGTGGTTTCCATGGCAGCACGGCGCTGGGGGGGGGGAGCAGCTCCTGATTAGAACCACATGTTTCTAGAGAGTGATGCAGCGCCCCCGCCGGGGGTGAGGGGAGGGACCGTGGGGGGGTCATGTAAATATGGGGCCCGGAGGGGGCCTGTGGCCAGAGCTGAGGAGACACAGCCAGGAACTCTCCTCCCCCAGCCCCTCTGGGCCTCTGGACCCTGTTCCATTGCCCCATTAGCACCCCCTTGGGAAGGATGGGACCCTCAGTGTGGCTGGCACGGCCCCCCAGGGGGCCCCTGGAATGGGGTTGTCCCCCTGCCCCCCATGCTCCACTTAGACCCCATCTCCCTACGCTCCATGTCACCTTCTCAGTGGGCAGCAGAGCGTGGGGGGGGCCCTGTCTGTCCTCTGTGTGGGGGAGCTGGGGGGCCGCCCTGTCCCCAACCACAGTCTGATGAACGTGCCCCTTCCCCTCATTTGTAATCCCCAGGGAAGTTTCTCCCCTCAGCACCCCTCCCGGGGGTGTTGGGGACAGGGAATCCGTCGGGGGGTTCGGTGTGGCCCCAGGGCACGTGGTCCTTGAGGCTGCCCTGCCCAGCTGAGTTGGCAAATTGTCCTCTCGATGCTGCTCACATCATGTGGTGGGGAGTTTCACAGGCCGTAGCATTGTTGAAAATCTTTTATGTGTAAATTTTAATTCTATATTTTAGTTTAATTCCCTGCAGTCAAATGCCGCCTCCTGCCCCATTCCCCCCCCACACACACTTAAGCACCAACGCCTGTCCCCCTTTGCCACCCTTGAGCGCCACCTCCTGCTGCCCCCTTCCCCTGGGGCGGGGGCTGAATCGGACCATCCCTTGTGTCTCATCTCTGGGGGTGGGGGGAGGTACACAAAGCCTTCTATTGTGGGCCGGGGGTTTTCTCGGGAGGGCGGGGGGTGCACGCTGGACAAAGCCTTCTATTGTGGGGGCTGGGAGGAGACTGTCTGTGGGAGGATGGGAGTGGGGCATGAGGCCCTCGAGGGCAGAGGGGACAGGATGTTGGGGTGAGGGTGAGTTTCAATCCCGGGGGGGTAGAGTGACCCTGGCCCCACCCAGAGCCAGGAGGGACCACAGAGCCCTAACACAACTAACGGGGGGACAATGCATGATAAAAGTAGCGGGGGGGTGAGGGTCAGACGCGGGGGTGAGGGGCGGCATGGAGCAGGAGCGGTCAGATCAATACAGGGAGCACCGCGCTGGGTGTCCCCTCTGGCCTGGTGACTGGCTGGCCGGGGGCAGGCTGACGAGGGGTCCCGTGGCTGCGTGGGGCCGTGGATGGGGTGTGTGTGGACGAGATGTGGGGTGCCTGGCGGCAGGGTCTCCCTCTCGCTGAGTGCCCGGCCCATGGGGGAGATGCCAGCCAGTGTCCCCAGCAGGCTGTGAGACTAGGGTGGGGATACAGGTCTGCCAGGGCCTCGTCCTCCGTGGGAGGCTGGGGCCCCGGGGGGGGCACCGGGGAGGGGTGGGGTGGACCATGCCTGTGTGTAGGTCTGACGGTGACTGGGAGCTGGCCAGCTCTCAGGGTAGGGTCCCCATCACAGGCTCTGGGGGGTTGGGACAGAGGGGCACAGGACCCACTTGTGGTACATGCGAGAGGCTGGGGAGGGGGCTGCGGACCCCTGTCCTGGACCCACTGGGGGGTCGGGACTCCAAGCCCCTGTTGTCTGGGCATTGGGGGTGGGGGTTGCTTTCGCCGGATGCCAGGGTCCTGTCGCACGGTCTGCCCAGACAGGGTGATTTGAACTGGGGCGTTGCCCTGGTGCTGCCTCCATCCCCAAAACTGGCTGCTCCCCCCGCTACCCGTAATCCCTCAGGCAGCTGCCAGGACGTGCAGAGACCCTCCCCGCTCCCCTGTCTGGAGGCCTGGGGATGGCTGGAGCTGCTCCGGGGGGGAGATCATGGCGGGGGGGCGGTAGCAGGGGCAGCCCCTGCCTGTCGCCGTGGGGTTGAACGTGTGGATGGCCCATGACATGGCTCGTGCCCGCACGGGCATGTGCAAAGGGGAGGGCCCCTCGCTCAAGCGCCTCGTGTCCATAGGGTCATGGCGCTGCTTGTGCACCATAAGCATCCTGGGGGAGGGGGCGTGGGCACTCTCCCTGCCCTCCTGGTGCTGCCCTGCCCCCAATCTGGCGACTCCCTTGGCCATGCCTTGGTGCTGCTGCTGTGGGTGCAGGGTAGGGGGTGGAGGCGGCCGTGGGGGCAAGGCAAACACCCTTGGCAGGTCTCTCCTCTCACTCCCCCCCCCGGTTTTCCGGCCATGGCGCATGCATCCCTCTGGCCTGGTCGCGTGGGGGTGGAAGACGGGCCCTGGGCTAGGGGGAGGGGTAGCCAATCCCCACGGCTCAGCTGGGGGGTGTGAGCGGCTGCCCTTGCCAAGGCTGGGTCCCCGAGACAGGAAATCGGGGCCCCTTGTGGGGGGCAGAAGCACGGTGAAGGGGGCTCCAGCTGTCTTCTCCTGGCCCTCTGTGGGACCCGGACTCCTGGGTTCCGTTCTCTACGCTGCTGAGTGGCCTGGCCTGACTCCCTTCCCCGCTCTGTGCCTCAGGGTTGTCCACACCTTGTGCTGGGGGGCTAACCCTAGCAGGGTAGATGTTCCCGCTAGGGGTGGAGGCCGGGCTCCGGACCCTCCCGGCACAGGCTTGGGCCGTGGGTTTTCTTGTCTTTTGCAGTGTAGGGCGGGGGGGTTTCACCCTCTTCTCATTTGCGGACCTGTTAAAGATTTCGAATGGAGGCGCCGACCCCTTTGGAAATCGTAGCTCCAGTCTGCGGCCCCCGCCATGGAGATGTCCCCTCGGTCTCCCCAGGAGGGGCCGGTGCTGCTGACCCCGCCGGGAGGGGAGTAGCGAGCCGATGTCTCTGCAGAGCTCGGAGCACGGGGGGCCTGGGGACGGCCAGGCGTTGTGGTGTCCTGGAGCTGCGCCCTCCCCACCAGCCAGCTCACCTAGAGGATCCCATGGCCCTCTGGAGCCGCTCTCACATCTCCTTCCTGGCTTTTTCCCGTCCCCCTTTCTACCTGTCCAGGTCTGAACCAGCCACTCCTGCGATGCGGCCAGGGCTGGGGTGGGACGTGGCAGCTGCAGCTGGGGGGGGCGTGAGAGACGAAGGAGGGCCCTGGATTGGCTGAGGGGGCGGGGGTGACTTTAACGTGCCCACTTCATGTAGGGCACGGTGGTAAATAGGAACTCCCCTTGGAAGGAATGATGGGCGTGGGGCAGTGGGTGGGTAAGGGGTCCTGGGGGCAGTGTGCCAGCAGGGTGAGC